TGGGTTTATGGGGTGGTCGGAGACGAGCCGGACGTTCAAGGTTTGTCTTCCCAATTATTCCTGGATGGAAACTCGGGGCTGGAAGAGCCACTGGATTCAGCCATTCCTGGTGATTCCCGGTGATTCCCAGCGATTCCTGGTGATTCCCGGCGATTCCTGGCGATTCCCAGCGATTCCTGGTGATTCCCGGCGATTCCAGACGATTCCTGGAGATTCCCAGTGATTCCAGACGATTCCCGGCGATTCCCGGCGATTTCTGGCGATTCCCAGCGATTCCCGGCCATTCCTGGTGATTCCCGGCCATTCCCGGCGATTCCCAGCGATTCCTGGTGATTCCCGGCGATTCCAGATGATTCCTGGAGATTCCCAGCGATTCCCGGCGATTCCTGGCGATTCCCAGTCATTCCCGGTGATTCCCGGCCATTCCCGGCCATTCCCGAGGACTTGAGACATTTGATTTGATTGGATTTGAGGTGGTGGCACTGGAATTGTCACCGCTCCGTGTCCGGGTGGCGGCGGCGGCCACGCCGGGGTCGGGATCGGCGCCGTTCCGACGTCTCCGTCGGCGACGAGGACGCCGGGATCGCGCCGGGAGGGATTTTCCTGGAGAGGTTGGATCATCCCAACCGGGAATTCCCGGAGCAGAACAATCCCAGCCCGGATCCGAGATGGGAAAAGCAGCTCTGGGAGAAGGACTTGAGGTGTCGTGGTGGAGAAGCTCCAAATATCCCGGAGAGATCCACGGGAAAAGTGGGAATTCTGCCCTCCTGGGGAGCTGCCTCCGGATTTGGAGCAACATCAGGAGGACGTGGAGCAAATCCAGAGATCCTGGAGATGCTCCAGGGTTGGAGCTGGGAATGTTCTCCTGGAGAAGAGGAAAATCCAAGGAAATGTCAGAATTCCTAAAGGCTCCTGGAGAGCTGGAGAGGGATTTGAGGGCTGGAGGGACAGGAGCCAGGGAAAAATTGGGAAAATTGGGATTGGGGTGGGATTTTGGGATGGAATTCCAGCCTGGGAGGGTGGAGAGGGGCTGGGATGGAATTCCCAGATTTCCTGTGGATCCCTGGGAATGCCCAAGGCCGGGTTGGGATGGATTTGGACCCAGCTGGGATTGGGGTGGGAATAAGATGGGATTTAAGCTCTTTTCCAATCCGAAGCATTCCAAGATTCCGGGAACCGACATCGGATGAAGATTCCCAGCGGGGAAAACCTTCCCAATCCAACGCCGGGAACAAAATTCCAACGGCGGATTCCGAGTTCGGGCGTCGGCGCCGAGCTCTTTTCCCACAGATCCTTTTAATCTGTTCCCCGAGGGAAGAGAAGATCCAAACATCACCCCTCCAACTTGGCCAAAATTCCTGGATTTTCTGGAATTCCTGGAAAAGCTGAATTTTCCCTGGAAAAAAAAAAAAACAACTGGATTTAATTTTTTACAGATTTGTTCCGTTTTAATGTGGATTTTTTTTGAATTTTTTTTTGATTCGAAAGTCACAAATTTTGGTGTTTCCCACCTGTATCCATGGGAATTTTTTTTTTATGGAAAAAAGATCGTTCGAAACTTTGAATATCGGGAATTTGGGGGAAAAAATTTGTGGGGATTTATGGAAATTTGAGGTTGGGGAAGCAAAAGAATTTGATTTGGCCTCGTTTTTATCTCGGGCAGAAAAGGACGAGGTGAGAGGTTGGATTCGGAATTTTGAGGGATTTTCCAACCTCAGGAATTCCGGGAATGTTCCCGTTGGATCCTCAGGGTTGGCTGTGAGGAATTGAGGCCACACCAAGGTGGATTTTTGGGAATTAAAATCAGAATTTAAGGCAAAAAAATCCACGCTCGGGCCGAGTATTCCCAAAAATCTTTGTGTCCTGGATGGTTTTTTTAGGGAAAAATTCCCGATTTTCTGTTGGATTGGCGGGGTCCGACCCCGCCGCCGTTCCCTTTCAATTCCAATTTCCCAAATCCTCAAAATCTCCGAGGATTTTCCGGATTTCTGCTGGGAATCGCGTCCCGAAGCGGGATTTGTGGGATTCCTCCCTCTCCAGACGCCTCCCGTTCCGGATGAAGCAGATTTCCCGGGATAACGACGATTCCTTCGTTCTCAATCCCATCCCCTTTGGAATGAAGAGGATTTGAGCCGTTCCCAGCACGAGGAATGGGATTTATCCGTATTTTTATTCCCAAGAATCCCTTCAAAGTCGGAAGTGACGCCTCCTGGGACCTGGAATCTGCAAAATCTTTGGGAATTCTCTGTTTTCCGTGAAGATTTATCCTCGGAATTCCTTCGTCGGAATTGCTCCGTCGCTTTCCTCTTCCAGGATTTCTCGGTGCTGATCCGTGAAGGAGAGGGATGGAATTAGGGAAGGGTGGGAATATGGAGGAGTTTGGATGGAATTTTGGGATCATCCCTTCCATTCCATGAGAATTCCGTGGGCGAAATATTCCCGAAGAATTGAAATGAGCTGGAATGAGGCAAAAAGGAGGAAAATCCATAAATCCAGAGGGTTTTGGTTGGTGAGGACTCTGCAAAGAGGAGAAGATTCCCAAAAAAATCTTGGATCCCTTCTTGGATTTCTTTAGAATTGGAATTCTAAATTCCCTTTTCATTCCCAAGTTTTCCTTGAGGAACAGGTTTGGTTTCTCCTGCTTAAATCCTGGAAAAATCTGGATCCTTGGGAATAGGATTGTTTAGGCCTGGAATTAGGGAAAAACCCTCTTGGAACGTTGAAATTGCCGCTTTATCCGGGAATTCTTCCGTCATCCCGACTCTTCCCATCCGTTATTTTCCCGATTATTCCGGATTTTATCGGATTTTGTGCCTTAAGAGCAGCCGGGAGTTGAATTTTTTTCCCCCGAGGATATTTAATAATTCTCACTGCTGATGTTCCACCTGGAAGAATTCCAGAGTTTTCCAAGGAATATCCCTTCTCCGTAAAAAACCTCCTCGTTTTTTTCCCAGCTCCCTGTCGATATTCCCAATAAACCCCGAATTTAGGGAATTTCTTTTTTTTTTTTTAGGGGATTAAATCCCATTTTTCTCGGATTTTTAAACGCTAAACGAGCCTGGAAAAACATCCCAGGTTGGGTTAATGAATTGATTAATTAATTAATTAAATTCACGCATTTAATTTAATTAATTGCCTTAATTAATTGATTTAATCGAGGTTTCTGTAGCGGTGTGAATCAGCTTTTCATCCCTTGCCCAAATTCCATGGAAATTGGACTTTTCCGAGGGCAAACTGGGCTGGAAGGAGAAGGAAGCGGCGGCTCCCGAGGGATCGGGCCCATCCCGGCCTTTTCCGCGCTCATCCGCCTTTTCCCGGTGTTTTTTCTTCCCCCTCAGGATTGGATCCTGCACCAGAACAACCCCGCCCACCTGGAGAGCTGCCGCAGGCTGCGCCAACAGTAAGGAGCCGGTCCCTGGGGATCCGGTGGGGATCCAGTGGGGATCCAGTGGGGATCCCCTGGGAATCTGCTGGGGATCCGCTGGGAATCCAGTGGGGATCCCCTGGGAATCTGCTGGGGATCCCCTGGGAATCCAGTGGGAATCCAGTGGGGATCTGCTGGGGATCCCCTGGGAATCCAGTGGGGATCCAGTGGGGATCCAGTGGGGATCTGCTGGGAACCCATTGGGGATCCCCTGGGAATCTGCTGGGGATCCGCTGGGAATCCATTGGGAATCCATTGGTAATTGGGAGACCACTGGGAATCCATTGGGGATCCATTGGGGATCCCCTGGGAATCTGCTGGGGATCCGCTGGGAATCCAGTGGGAATCCATGGGGAATCCATTGGTAATTGGGAGACCACTGGGAATCCATTCGGGATCCACTGGGGATCCACTGGGAAGCTGCTGGGGATCCATTGGGAGACCACTGGGAATCCACTGGGAATCCACTGGGAATCCACTGGGAATCCACTGGGAATCCATTGGGAATCCATTGGGAATCCATTGGGAATTGGGAGACCACTGGGAATCCATTGGGAATCCGCTGGGGATCCATTGGGAATCCATTGGGGATCCAGTGGGAATCCAGTGGGAATCCAGTGGGAATCCAGTGGGAATTGGGAGACCACTGGGAATCCATTGGGAATCCATTGGGAAGCTGCTGGGGATCCATTGGGAGTCCACTGGGAATCCATTTGGAATCCCTTGGGAATTTGGGATCTGCTGGGAATCCATTGGGAATCTGCTGCAGATCCATTGGGAATCGGTTGAGAACCTGCTGGGAATCCATTGGGGATTTGGAATCCCTTGGGAATCCCCTGGGAATCCATTGGGAATTTGGAATCCCTAGGAATCTCTTGGGAATTCATTGGGAATCCGTTAGGGATTGGGACTCTGTTGAGAACCTGCTGGGAATCCCTTGGGAATCTGCTGGGAATCCATTGGGAATCCACTGGGAATCCCCTGGGAATCGGAAATCCGTTGAGAATCCATTTGGGATCCCCTGGGAATCTGCTGGGGACCCACTGGGAATCCATTGGGAATCCATTGGGAATTGGGAGTCCACTGGGAATTCATTTGGAATCTGCTGGGGATCTGATGAGAACCTGCTGGGAATCCATTGGGAATTGGGAATCTGCTGGGAATCCATTGGGAATCCCCTGGGAATCTGCTGGGAATTGGAAATCCGTTGGGAATCCATTGGGGATCCGCTGGCAATCTGATGGGGATCCATTGGGAATCTATTGGGAATTGGGAGTCCACTGGGAATCCATTGGGAATCCATTGGGAATCTGCTGGAGATCCATTGGGAATCTGTTTGGAACTTGCTGGGAATCCATTGGGAATTGGGGATCTGCTGAGAACCTGCTGGGAATCCCTTGGGAATCTGCTTGGGAATCCTATTTTGATTGGAAATCTGTTGGGAATCCATTTGGAATCTGCTGGGAATTGGGAGTCCACTGGGAATCCATTGGGAATCTGCTGGTGATCCATTGGGAATCTGCTGGTGATCCATTGGGAACCCATTGGGAATCCATTGGGAATGCACTGGGAATTGGGAATCCCCTGGGAATCTGTTGAGAATTGGGAATCCATTGAGAACCCGCGGGGAATTCCTTGGGAATCTGCTGGGAATCCATTGGGGATTGGGAATCCATTGGGAATCTGCTGGGAATCCGTTGGGAATCCGTTGGGGATTGGAAATCCATTGGGAATCCGTTTGGAATCCATTGGGAATGATGGGAATCCATTGGGAATCCTGGAATGCCGGGAAAGGACCTTAAATCCCAGCAATTCCCACCCCATCCGTGGGCAGGGACAGCTCCCACCATCCCAATGGATCCAAATCCATCCCAGCCCGGCCTTGGGCATTCCCAGGGATCCACAGGAAATCTGGGAATTGCAGCCCAGGCAGGAATTCCTTGCCAAGATCCCAGCCCAATCTCCCCTTTCCCACTGGAAGCCATTCCCTGGCTCCTGGCCCTGCAGCCCTTGGCCCCAGTCCCTCTCCAGCTCTCCTGGAGCCCCTGCAGGGACTCTCAGCATTCCCTGCATTTCTCCCTTTTCCATGGGAACATTCCCAGCTTTCCAAAATCCTGGAATGCTTTAATAAAAAACCCCCAATCGCATCCAGGAATTCCCATCCAACCTCACCTCAGAGACCCAAAAATCAACGTTTGGCGCTTTGGGAATCCCACATGGGAATATTGAACGGGAAAAATCCCAGTTTTTTCGGGAATTTCACCTTTTCCTCTGAGGTTTTTCCGTTGTTTTTTGCAGATATCCCGAGTGGAATCCCGAGGCTCACTCCTCCAGCAGGTACCGCACCCTTTCCTTCCTTCCCCTCATTCCCAGCCAGGAATTCCTCACGGGAGACAATTCCCAGATTTTTATCCATTATTTTCCCCTATTTTTTCCATTTATTTTCCATTATTCCCCATTTTTTTCTCATTTTTTTCCCCATTTATTCTCCATTTTTCTCCATTTTTTCCTGGTTTTCCCCATTTCCATTTATTTTCCCCTTTTTTCCCCATTT